GCAGATCATTTTCCTGTTTGAGTGTCTTCAGGTTTTATTTTGGTTTGACTGAATTTTCACTTTGTGCACATTCCCTCTCACTGGGATCCTCTCACAATTATTTTTTGTCTTTTTGTGTAGGAGCCTTGTAAGTGTTCATCATTTGCATATTATAATTTGCAGATATTTTTCTTAGAGTGAAGTTTGCCTTTTCATGTTGCTTTCTTTTCTTTATTTTTTTTTGGGGGGGGCAGGGGTGGAAAAGTTCATTTTCAAACATTCAGTTGTGTTCATATTTTAATTTTTCTCTGTGATCTTTTGGCGTTCCCTTGAGCTTGAAGAGTTAATTCGCCTTCCATGTTCTGTTATACTGTTACTAAGATTTAGCATAGAGCTCCTCTTGGAATCTGTTTGTCTGGGGGTCCCCTTAGTCAGACACTTAATTCTTACATAGTTTAAGCGATGTGTATGAGATATTCTGTACTGGCAGAGAGTTCTTTCTTTGTTTTTGATGGGTCCATTTTTCAAGGGGAAAACTGAGGCACATTTAAGGGAGGAAGACCTAGAATGACACCATGTCAGTCTCAGGGAAGGGGATCAAGATTGCTCTTGGTCTGGAAAGATATCTGGAAAGATGAACCGGAGGGTTCCAAAGGCCGAGACCAAGGTCTTAGCTGGGAGCTGCAGAGAGGCAGAATTTGGGCTCTTGGGAAAGTATCCAACATGTTCTAGCAACAGATAAGTCCCTCTGTGAGGAATGTGGTAAATTGAGGCTCATCCTACATTAGATGGGAGATCCAAGAGGAAATCCTCTAGGTCCTCTCCCAACTTCAGAATTTTAAAATTCTATAGATATTTTTCATCTGCTGGCTTTTTCAACAAGTAATTATTGAACGTTTGGCATGTTGCCAATGCCACCCTAAGTCCTGGGGATTCAACAGGGAATAAAAACTTGAACCTACTCAGAGCTTCTGTTCAAAGGAAAAGAGAGTTAATAAAAGAATCAGTATGTTAATCATGGCAGGGAGTGATAAGAAAACAAAGCAGGTAAGAAGTGCTGTTTTATCCAGGGTGTTCAGGGAAGACCATGAGGTGGCTTCTGAGGCAAGATCTAGAAAGTGAGAAGTAGTGGGTGGACTGAGAGCTGGGGGAGGGGGTGCTGGCCAGGAAGCAGGAAGAGCAGAACCCAGGCCCGTGCTTGCTGCCTGGCTGAGCGAGGATGTGCATGAACTGATCCAGACATGGCCCAGCGTCTCACTGGAGAGTTTCATTAACTGTTGGGTCAGTTGTTCTCATTTTTCAATATCATCATAAAAGTTGCATTTGAGCACCTACCCTGTGCCCAGCTTTGCTCAACACCATACATGTATTCCTAGTAATTCCCACAACTCTACAAGTTGGGTCTTACCATTCCCACTTTACAGCTGAGGAAAGAGATTCGGCACTTCCTCACTTGGAACTTGCACCTACCCTTCCCCACAGGAGTACTCTCAGAGCCCACAACCGATGGTCACATCTCGAGCTGTGTGTATATTAGACTGAATGAACAAAATGCACGTGTACAGAAAGGTACTGAAGACATCTACGATACGGCCGCACCTGTAGATGTTTAACCTGAGTAGAAAAAGTACTTTTCGGTACTTTGAAGGAGCGGTTTCTTTATCCAGTCACTCTTTGAACTGTTCCTCTGTAATCTAGGTGAACTTAAAAGTAGGAGCATGTCTTATCTCTTGCTACTCCTTAATAGCTCAAATTCGTAACTTCTTCAAGTTGAAAGGAAAAACACAATATGGATAATCAAGACGACATGTAAGCCCATAGGCAGAGGGAGTGACCAGAAAATTCTCTGTGGGCAAGAGCTCCTCAGGGTGTTCTGAGTCCAGACCAAAATGTCCCCATGGCTCTTTCAAACAATCCTTCCTTGTTGGCATCATTTGGAATTTCCATTCTTGCATCTCTCTGAGGCCTCCTGGGGATCTTTCCTTGCGTCTTTTGCACAAGGGTGGAATTGTGAGCAACAGTCCCCCATTCTGATTGCATAAAGCGTCTTTACAAAGACTTCCATTTTGGGTCCCTTTAAGCGGGGAGGGCGTGCTTCAGCTGAGAGATTTGCTGGTGTCTCCTGAGCCTGCTCACTCCTACTTCCTGCCTCTGACAGCTAAAGGCTTTCAGGTTCTCTTTTTAGCACAGTTCTTAACAATTTAAACGAGACATGAAGTCATGTCACAGAAGCAAGCTCCCTGTCCTGCCCAGTGGGGCCAGTGTGTAAATGGGGCCCCATATGATACAGAGATGGGGCTCCCCATAACAGTCAGATGTCATTAGAACAGCAGTGGGTGGCCGTATGCTAGCACTTACCTTGGATGTGTTTTGATTCATAGCTTTGACTTGCCAAAATATTTGGTTCCCAGAGCTGCTGACAGGTGATAATAACAAAAATGAAACTGATTTGAATTTAGTTATCAAGTCACTACAGTCATAAGAAAAAAGGGCAAAGGTTAGCTCTGTGGTCTTGGGTTTCTCTCAGCTTTCCCCACAAGTAACAGGGCCCGGCTCCTACCCTGCAGGGTTGATATGAATAATAAATGAAATGATAACTGCAAAGCAACTAACGTGTTTTCCTCCGCCATCTTGCAGTAATTATAATAATTTAGAGGAATAAATACCTAGGAAAGGAAAGTTACAGCATCTTGTGTTGATATAGAGGGTTTATTTAGCTGTGTCCCTCAAAATGTGGTGTGGAGAGCCTTTCTGGTAGTAGCAGTAAATTTTGTAGGTCCTGAAATGGTCCATCGGCTGCCTAAACAGAGTTGGAGACATTGTTTTATCAATGAGTATAGCAGTTCTTCGAGGTAGGGGTGCGTCTGTTTGTCTCTCTGTCTGTCATTACTTCCAGGTTTTTCCTGGTGGAGAGGTGTCCTCTCAACCCCACTCTGGCTGGCTGAGTCTCTGCTTAGATTCGCAGCCTCATTTAGACATAAGGAGGGAAGGGACTTCACTTTCTGGCTTGGAAGCTTTCTTTGTGTCTGAGGGTCTGTCTGGAGTACAGGGCCAAGGAGGGGAAGGTTTCCTGACCCTTGTGGTAGCACAGCTCATGACCACAGTCCTCGCACACTTGACAGCCACAAGGGAGGAGGTCCCTCCTCTCCTGCTAGAGGCCTGGACACAGTCAGTTTATAATAACCACAATTACAATAGCAGCAGCAGTGAGTAATCATTGCCGCAGCTAACATCTATCAACGATATTGTATTTTTCCCATTTAATCCTGATCACAACATGGACTGAGACCATGATTATCCCCAGGAAACCAAAACCTGGTAATTTGTCTCATGTCCCACTTTCCTTTCCTAATAAAACCTTCATCAAACCTCCTGAGTCCTGCCTTTCCTGTCCAGCTGAGCCCCCAGCATCCCTGTGCAAGTCCCCTCTCTGCACCTCGTGGGTTAAGGGTGAGAGGAGCGCATCTCTTGGTATTTCCAGCCTTGTTGGGATTGCCCTGCTCCCCATGTTAGAGGTCACATTCCCAGTATTCAGGGACCATGAGGGTCTCCTTCTGCCTCTCCAATGGATGACTCAGAGAACGTCTCCTGAATGGTCTGGGTCACAGCTTGGGGTGTCCTCAGCTTGAGCAGTGTCACCAGGAAGGTGGTGAATGGGGGGACACTGCTAAGTACACACCATCTTCTCAGGAACACTGATTACCTAGTTATGCAGCAGGTCAATCAAGCCTGAAGTTGACTCTGGACTCCATCACTCCTGCAGGTAGCAGGGGTGGGGGTCAGCAGTCCGATGGTGGAAGAGACCAGCATGCTGAGGGGTGAGGCACACTCTAACAGAACAAGTTGTCTTTATTACAATTGACTCATTTAATCTTCAACAACCTTGTGAAAAAAGAACCACTGTTATCTTTATCTTATAAATGAGGACACTGAGAGACAGAGGGGTAACTTGATAGGATAGGTGGGTTAGCACCCACCATTTATGGTAGTGCTTAAATATTAGGAAAATGTGAAATATTTTCAATATACAGTTACTATGACAAACATGTGATACATTTGAGAAACAGTTGTGTGCAAACTATTTTGTTCTTGAAGTATTGGTACTTTGTGGAATACTTTCCAGAGATTTATAAAATTTTGTTTCTAAGTGTTATTTCCCCCACACATTATTAGGGTCTATACTTTGTGTTTTAAAATAAAAACATTGAAGAATGCAAAAATGATAATAATACAGGACCTTTCACAAACCCTTATCTGTGACATTGTGATGCAAGGGGCAGGTGTGCTTGTCTCCTGTTGTATCTGTGGCATATTATTACAGAGCCAGAAAGAGTGTGTTTTGACCAAGACAACCCAGTGAGGTCAGATGTGGAACCTAGTGCAGAGAGGATAAAATATGTTCAAAAGTAACTATCACCTAGGCCGTAATCTGCTGTGCTAGTGAAAGAGTCCAGAAGACTTTGCTTTTTCCTGCATCCACAAAAAAATAAGGTTCTAGACACCTTGCTCAAGATTCAACAAATCCTTGTTTGTTGTTTTAAAAATGATTTCAGAATGAATTACAATTGAGACATCCCTGGGTTATGTGTACCACCACACTCTGTGAAATGTTATGTTCCATATACGGGAATAGCAGTTGACAGTGACTCAGTCCATCTTCCTGATGAGAAATCCATCTCCTGATGGATCGTCCATTCAGTTGTTGCTTGGTGCCAGGACCGAGTCTCACACACATGCCACACAGTTTGTTATGAATTCTTGACAACATAAAGGAAGGGCTTATTGGGGCCTGGGGAAGACTTTCATGCTTTGAGACATATATAGCTTTAAAGTTTGTCAGCGAGTACTGAGGATGGGTCTACTTTGTGCCCATTGGTCCCTGATGAAGCCCAGGTTCTGTTGCAAAGAAACAGACTGAAGGAAAATCAATTACCACTATTTCAGGCTCTGCTCTGAACTTCAAAAAAAAAAAATGAACTTCTCATTCACTTGTTACTTTTATTTTTCTTTTTTCCTCCAAGGGTCGAGATTACTGTTCGGAAGAAGAAGACATCACATAGCACCAATTCTGCCACTCAGACCAGGAGCTGCTACTGTGTAAATAGGTTACACCCCAGTCAAAATCTTTGCAAAGGTCGGTTCTCTTCAACGAACAGCGCTATAACAAAAGAAGATCGTTCCATATCGTATGCCCCATTAAATTACAGTGTTTCTTAATGAACTTGCAAAGGAATATTCCTAAAAACAAACAAAACAAAAAAATAACTGTTCTCGAACTTTCTTTGTTGCTGCTAGTTAAAACTTGTTGCAACTTTTCACTTTTCTTGTGTGCAGGTATGCAGCAAAATTCTGCAATTTCACCATAATGATACTATTGGTTTTACAGATGTTCTCCAACCTATTTTCTATAAGATGAGGTAGTGGTGAACTCAGATATCAACTTCTATTCTAGACCGGTTCCACTTCTAAGTCAAGCATCTCCTTCCCTCTCTCTTTCCTCCCTGTCTCTCCTGAGCGGTCCAGAGACGGACCCGAGCCTGGCTTCTCACTGGCAATGTTGAGCTTTGGAGATGGGATGATTGCTGCAGCAAGCCTTGTTTCTCTGTCTGGAAGAAGTAGAGAAGCCATTATCTATTCAAAGCATGTTGTGACCTGACTCCTACCAGTGACCTAGGAGTGGGGCGGCAGTTTGTTCCACCTAATAGGTCTCTTAACGATTAAGCTTGCAATGCTGGCTTTGGTCAGATGCAGATGGAAGTGTGATCACAATCATTTCCAATCCCTCTTCCTCGCTTTTTTTTTTTTTCTAAGAAATAAACATTTTACTGTTTTTATGTATCCTTGTCTTCTCCCATTCATCCAACTCAGTGTTGTAAGATGATCCTGGGTGTGGAGTTGAGCCCGCCTTTGTGGTGACGCTGATCATGGGCCTCAAGGGCGCCCCACCCATCCGTTAATAATCTACCAAGGTTTAGAAGGGCTCTAAGTGGTCAGAAGAGAGGAGGAGGCACCCCGCGACTTTTTAGGAGGGCCTATGAAACTACCCTGTTACCTTTTATTTTATTAGCAAATAAAGCATCTTATTTTATAATTCTCCCCTTCACGATGCTACATGAGCCTGCCACTTCCTTTTCCTCTAACTTCCGGCACTGGATAGGACAGTGAAAATCATTTGCCTACTCGAAAGCATAGGACATTTACACTGGTGATGATATTTGGAAATGCAAAAGCCAAAAGCCCTGGCCGTGGTGGGGAATGTTGACTGTGTGTTTGGTAGAGTTTATTTTTCCATACTATATGAAGAGACTGATCTCTTCTCAAAGACAGAAGTAATATTTTTAACAAATATTGTCACAAGTAAATAGCAATCAAAAGGAGAAAATAACTTTTGTATTTTTTTAACGTGTTTGATAGCTTTGAAGAGGGTTCTCTTTGTTACTTTCAGGGGAGGGCACCCTGTTAAACGCCACGCCAGCAGTCCAGGTTTCTCCAGGAGTGCACAGGGAGTGCTGTATGTGTCTTTGGGGGTTGGGAATTTCAAGGGCCTCCATATCAGCCACACTGCCACCTCCCAAAGGTGGATAATTAATTAAGAAAGTGGGTAGTTAGGATGTCCCAAGGTCATCAAGAGATCATGTGCCATGAAGCAGAATAAGGAGTTAAATTCGTTCTTCCTGAGATGAACTTTGACTTTTAAATCCATTCCCAAAAAAATTGGTGGCACCATTGATGGGCTAATGGTGAGGTTCCCGATCTCCTCTCAGACCTGGGCAGCAAAACCCAGGGGAAGCAAGCTCCCGTCACCTGCTATAGAAAATGGACTCAAATGTTAGCAACAAAAATCCCTGAAATCTTGTAGCCGGCAGCAGCTATTTTGAGGAACAGCTGTGGTTGTTACATAAATAGAGACACAGCCAAAATTTAAGGCCTTTTATCCTGCTTCAAGCAGAAAACTGCAGGGAGAGTCCAGTAGTCTCGGGTTTTATGTTCCCACCCCTTGTAGGGTTTTTGGCCAAGTGATGAAAATAGTTTTCCTCAACTGTCAACGAACTGCTAAACCCCACCTCAAACTCACTCACTGGGGACTTTGTTCACTGTCATGTGGATGACCTTTTCCCGGATCCATCTTCTGTTCTTATCAAGCAAGAATGAAGCAAATGTTAAACGTCTTCCATGTGACTCCTCTGTTTGGTGTCTCAGACAGTGTCTTCCCAGACAGTCCCCACCTGCCACAGGAAGATGAGACTCGCGCCTGTGTTTTTTGGTCTCCAGGTCACGGTTAACATTTTGACATGTTACACGGGTACATGGAACCACCTGTTTCTTGGGAACCTGACTTTGGAGGGTTTCATAAAACCATAAGTGCTGTCCCCGTGAAGCAGAGGCTCCTCACCCGGGGCTCTGTCTCCCCTGTTTAACACTGGATACGTCTTTGCTGTGCAAAAGTGATTTTTATCTTCGGACGCATTTGGTACCCCTCAAAATAGGTCCAAGCAATGGGGTGATCGAGCTGGGTTGGAACGAAATGCTTGGTTATGTTGGCAACACTTGCAACTTGTCTGTTTTCCATTTGTTGGTTTTAATCATAAAATTGTCAAGTGACTTGTGTTTGTACTTTATTTTTTTAATGCCTTCTGAGAGGATCTAAAGCCAAAAAAAAAAAAAATCTTGCCTTTCTTTTCCCTCTGTGTATTCAGACTTTAAGCAGCTTGTCTCAGATACAAGGAAAAGAATAATCCACGTATGTGCTGGTACGTGCTGCTCCTCCCGTGTAGGACTCGGGGAGTTGGAAGGAGGGAGGGAGAGCAGTGACCTGGTGGATGGAGGCGAGGACATGATGAGGATCAACTGAGAGGCATTCAGCAGAGAGGGTTCTGGGCTCTGGGCTGGAGCAACTGAGGATGCAGCTGCCTAGGGGCCAGTAGGCGGGGCGGAGCTGCCAACAAGATTTACAGCTGGACTTCACACGCCTTATGGACTCCGAGTTGCAGAGTTGTAAAAGTTCAGCGGTGTGTGCATAGCTTTCTTTTGGTTGGCGGAGATTCAGGATCATGGAGTACTGTGCTCATAATTGAATACGTGTTTGTTACTGGCGGACAACCCTAAAAGAGGCTTTTACCTCTGAGACGCCTCCCAGCCCCGGGCTGAAACCGTGAGTGTAGCACAGTGCTATGGTCTATTTAGGGACAAAGAAGCTACCGAGTCCAGAGACTGGCAAACTAGGTCAACCCTCAGAAACAGCGGGGGCCACACAGCCGCCCGCCCTGGGGCAGGTCCTCCCTGTCAGCAGCGCCTGTGATCTGAGACTGGCCTTTGATGACTCAAATAAGAAACGGCCTGCCTCTCGATCAGCCTTGGTCCTCGCACCCACCACCCTGGCACCCGCCTTATGCTCACTGTGAGGTGATAAAGCGCCTCTTTGTCACAGGCACGCCCAGGCACCGCCACGCCAGCAAGCCCACAGCCCCAGAAACAGTCTCAGGGGTGATGGAGCCCGCCTCTTGGCCCCCGCTGATGTCATCCAGCTTTGAGTTATGACTTTGTCCTCCTCCCAACCTCAATGCTACCTTATTCTGCTAAGGCAGGAATCTCCCCTAATTCTTCTGAAAACAGAGATTATACCTCTTAGGAATTTTACTTCAGTCGCCCATGATGGAAGGCCACCTACCCATGTCCTGCTTAGACACTGAGCAAGAATTTGAAAGTGTTCCATCTGCACTGATCCCTAAGAAACTTGGTTAAATATGTTAGTTTTGTAGGAAGAAAAATTATCAAATTCTTAATCCAGGAAAACACTGACTCAGAATCTTGGATTCTGGGACTCTGATATTTTCTTTCTAAAAGGCAAAACAATTGGTATCTAAGGTTCTCTCCCTGTCCCTCCAGCCTCCCTCAAAAAAGAAAAAAAAAAAAAAAGAGGTATTAGGTTGTGCTCTGTAATTTTACATAAAATCTGCCCTCCACGCTTTCTCCCCTGGAAGGCACCCTCTCTCAGAGCTTTATTTCTTTATACCTGTTAGAAACTGAGCTTTTTGTTACATTTCTTAAAACCCTACTAGAAAAATCGGACATTGTTGGTGGGTAGGGAATATATATTTAAAGGCATAATGGAAAAGTGGCTCAAAGGAGGAACTTGAGCTCCACAATGTCATGTTGGGTTACTGGACCCCCATGTGCTGTGTAAAGCTGGCTGAGGCAACCGGCTTTCAAACTATAAATGTCCCTGCAATAAACCTTTTGGAATCTCATGAATGAGGTCTGTGAATTGCCTTTTGCCAATGAGTGGATGTGTTTTTCCAAGGAGGAAAATGTCCTTGACTTCAGCAGTCCCCTTTTTGTACGGCTCTGGTCAAGGGTCAGGGAAGCTATGGTAAAAATGAGGCTTGTGGGGAACATATAGATAGGCCTTGGGGACGAACCTTGGGACTCAGGAAGTGAGGCTGTGTTTTTCAGGAGATTCCCATACCTTATCTGGGATTTAATCTAATCTTGGAGAAGAGGAATAAAGGAACTGAGATGTTTGACCGATACTTACTCTGTGCCAGATACTATGCTAGGCGTTTCATAATTGTGTAATCCTCACAGGAGCCTGTGAAGCGGGGTCTACCACCCCCCTGTTTGAGTAGTGTATTTTAAGTGTCGAATGTTATCTATCCGATAACATATTGAATGGAAACTGGAAAGATGTCATTCAAGTATTTTCACATGTTTTTATTATAATTGTGCCCCTTCAAACACTGTGAAAACAACCTTGCGGGGCGGGGGGGATCCACCTTCCAGATTCTCTGGCTCCTCACCAGCTTGGTTTCCTCATGGGGAGCGTTTCACTTGGCCTTCCTGCATCTGCACACAAACCAAGAGAGGCCCCTGGCTGACAGGACTTGGGTGCTCAGGGGAAAAGGCTTTGGGAGTTTAGGCCCGTGGTTCCCCACCCCTGGTATCCTTTCAGCATCTGGGAAAGGAACCTTCCAGATGCATCCAGAACAGGCTACTCACTGGGTGCCTAGTTCCCTTCTCTGGGTTCCCAGGATTTGCTCTTTTCATCGCAGCTGCATCTTCTTAAGGCTAAAAGCCTCAGCCTTGCCGGGAGGCTTGGAAGAACCTGATGGAGAGCAGTGGAGGAAAGGCGAGGTGGGGTCAGTCACCTGTATTGAAATCCTTTCCCGTGGATGAGGGTTGGGTTTCTTTTTGATGGTTAGACCACAGCTGTGTTTTCCAGGCAGTTTGAGCACCAGAACCGGAGGTGAATCTCTTTCAAGATCTTAAATGTTTGGGGATAGGCATGCAGTGACTTAGAGAGTCATTTAAATAACTTGTTCCAAGGTCAGAAGAGAGGAGGAACAACCCCCAGAGTTCCTTTCCTTGCTTCTTAAGACGTGACAGGTACAAAACAGAACTCCTGTCATAGTGGTCAAAGGTGCTAGCCAGGGAGGACCTGCTCCGATCCTCATTTACTCAGCTTGAAAGAATCAGAAGAATTTCCTTGAGTCAGGGGTCCCATGACCAGTTTTCCTGTGAAATCTGTTCTCCAAACTCTGTTTATTTCTAGGCTGGCAGCTGCCAGATTCTTTCAAGGTGATGTGGGAAATGGCTCTTATCTCTTGGAAGTCAAAGGAATTACTTTGATTCAGAAAGATTCCCTGCTCAGCTGAAGGCCCTGTTCTGATATTGTCTCCCCTTTCCAACATCAGTTCACTCTTCCTCCCTTCCCAGAGGTTATTTTTAGACCAAGACTTTGAACTTGATTGAGTAAGACTTAGAGTAAAAAGAATATCATAAACTCATCCATAACTGCTTCAGGTTCCCTGGGGTTAAAATAGCTTTAGAACCTTAGGAGGCCATTGAGCCCGAAGCCGGGGGTAAGAGAATAGCCCCCAGTTTTCTGGCATTTCAGTCCAGACCTTCAGGGACTGTGCTTCTTGACAGGCAAGTGAGCAAGGGAAGTTTTATAAAAGATTTCAAGCCAGCCTTTCCATTCTAAGCAAAATACAAATCCATAAAAATCACTGCAGTTTCCTGGAGAGAATCAGGCAGCTGCCCTTTTTAGGACTCTTCATTTGAATCCATATTCTTAATATAGACAAAGATACATGCATAAAGAAAATATAGATACTTTATGTTATTGACTGACTTCAAGAAAGAAGGCTGATGTTGTATCTCAGTGGTAGGGCGCTTGCCTAGCATGCATGAGGCCCTGGGTTCCATCCTTAGAATTGAAAGAACTGTTTTGCCTTTCTGTAATCTTAAAATAATGTAGTTATCCAGATCACCATAATAATACCAAAGCAGGAAAAACTAGTGATCACTCCCACAAGTTTGAGTTAGACTCAAATGGGAACACTAGGTCAGCTGGCTGTCTTGCCTTGTGCCCCTGAGGTACAGACATGCCCCTGTGGTTGACTTCTCTGGGCCTCTAGCTGAGTCTTGTGGCTTACCACCTTTCCCAGCCCATGGTGCCTAAAGGACACATCCCAAGCATAAGTGCCAGGTCCTGCCACGTACAACCACAGTGTTGCTCATGCACTCTCCCACTCATCCATGTGGCCTTGACGGAGGCCACAGCAGCAGCACCTCCACAGGGACACTGACACCAGTGTGTGAAGCTGGGGTCCCTTCCTCTAGGTTGTCCCAGATGTAGCATCTTCAGCTTGGCCCTTGCCAGTCTCGAGGGCTCGTTCATTCAACATATTATTTATGGACACCTGGGACATTCCAGGCAGTGAGCTGATTGCCAGCAATACACAGTTGAACCAAATACAGCTGCTGCTCTCAAGGAGCCTACTTGAGGGTGGAGACACCCTGGAAGGGCCCCTTCTGATGTCCTGTAGGGAAAAGTACTGGGTGCTATGGAAGCACGTCACGGTGCTTGGAGACTCCCTCAAAGCAGTGACATCAGAGCTCACATTCATCAGGGAGAGTGTTACAAAGGATGGTCCAGACTAAGAGGACAGACAGCCTGGGACCATGGACACTGAGGACTGACCAGGGTCTGCATGTAGTAAAGGGGCTAGAGTCAGAGCTGAAGACGGGGGGGGGGGGGGGGGAAGAACCAGGAGTGAGGACGCAGCAGTGAGCAGGGGCGGCCACAGAGGGCTCCAGGGTTTGGCTGTGGATTTGGGGAACATATGGAAAAACTTTAGGTGCTGCTCTGCCTTCCACAGCCCAAGAGCTGGGTGTAGTCTCTCTCAGGCCCAGGATGGCCATCCTCTCTGGAAGTGCACACTTGCTTACTGGGAGGCTTTGTTCCAACAGATCTTCTATTCCCATCCTACCCCTACTCCTCTTTCTGTCTTCAGAAGCTGTTTGAGTTCAAGGGCCTCAGCTTGGGCTGGATCTGGTTTGGAGACATAGAGATAGCTCTGGGTCATCCTGACCTTAGAAACATGATGGCTAAAAATACCTCTGGGGACCAAGCTGGCCTAGACCTAGAGATGAGGGTGCATCCGAAAATAAATATACAGAAGCCAGAGAGGGCTTCCCTGTTTAGTGTATGATTCTAACCAAAGGCAGCTGCCCCTGGACAGCCCTCCCCTAGATGAGGTTACCTGCACCTGGTGGCCAAACCTCTCCTGGGCCCTGAGTGCGCACCTCCTGAGTCCTGCCAAAGAAAAGTGATATTTAACAAACACACAGACAAAAGCACAGATGAACTGTGTGCAGATGGGAAATATCCACAAGCCTGGACAGTTGCTGAGAAGCTTTTGGGGACTGTCAGTCAGGGAGGGCTCAGAGACAAGCAGAATCCCTTTATGAAAGCAATTTGCAGTGCCTTGGGTGTTCCAAAGAACCAATTCAAAGTAGAGAGCATTGGGGTTTTTCTTTCTTTGTCTTTTGTCCTACCAAAAAAAGGAAAAAAATCAGAAAATTTTTAGGCAGAAGGAATAGAATTAGATGCATCAGAATGAGAGCTGTATATCAGCGTGGTTTCCAGAAATCCAAGAAAAAAGCTCATACAGGAGACAGTTCCCTTGAGGGCTTGGAGGAATTTGGGCCTGAAGGCAGTTTTCCCAGCTGAGTGACTCTGCTCCTCTGCTTGGGGATCCTGGGCAGCTCTTGCTGCTCCTTGGGGCTGACCTCTTTGACAACATGCCCACACCTGCCCTCCTCCTGGGCACAGCCTGATGTACCCAAGAGAAACACAGCCTTCTGGTGCCATGGCAAGATTTTTACTCCAACACTGACTTTTTCCTAATAGTCCTGTGGTTGTTAACTGAAGGTTTCTAAATCCGCCTCTGGTTCCTGATGCACAGGCCTGGGTCTAGGAGTGTAGAACAGAACGTGGCCTGTGACAGTCCTAATGCTGGAAAGCAACAGCACAGTAAGGCACCCTCTCCCCATTCATGCCCACACACACCTGTCATCTCATGGCCAGGAAAGGACTATGTTGCTCCCAGGCCAGTTATCAAATGGCTGTGTCTTTGCAATTCCCATGGGAATTGGGTTTTATTTAGGAACATGGTCTAACATTTGAGGAAAATCTAGGACTGTGAGGCATCAGCTCTCAGTCAGGTGTGGCCGATCCTTGGGGCATTGCTCTCTGAGTACCTGCAGAGGTGTGCTCAGGTGAGCATGGGAACCCAGGAGGGCAACCTCCTCACCACTCTGCCTGAACATGAAATTGAAAGCAGTGGAAATCATTTGCGGATCTGATTCCATCACATTTGGGTATCAGCAAGAACTTTGTGAGATGCACCTTCCTATATGTGTATTGATTTACTTAAAGTATATATCCACTTATTTTATAGTGATGGTTACATTACAAAAAGCACACAGCACAGAAATTTTAAATGAATAAGATACAAAACATCATATAAACAAAGGTTCTAGCATTTTCTCATGGGCTCCTGAGGGTGACCTTGGTTACCTCCTGGTATACACCCCAGCTTTGAACACCACCGCTTTGGTACAAATTAGCACACCTTGGTGGCATTCCAAACCACTGTGTGGCACTTAGGTGCGGAACAAGAAAGTGGCAAGACAGACTCCCAGGCACTTCAACTCTGGGAGCAAACATAAATTAAGTCATTCAGACAGGAGAACTGTCCCTAGACAGCAGCGGCTATAGGTGCTAATAGCAGGTACCTTGTACAGAACCACGGGATTGTTCATCTTCCCTCTCTGGGTCTCCAGAAAAGGACACTGGCAATATCCCAAACTCCCTCCTGGTTGGAATTCTTTGACCCTTCAAAGTGCTTCAGCTGAACTGCGCATGGCACCAGTGGACCCGTGTGGCTTGAATATTATTTTT